CTTTGGAGGCTGAAAAATGGGCCCATTTCATCACTTCCAGTATTTCCAGAAATACAGGAAGTGATGAAATGGACCCATCTTTTGGCCTCCAAAGGCTGCAGAGGCTTCCCTCGGCTGAAAAAGGCCTCAAATGGGCTGAAAATCAGCTGGGAGGTGCGCACATGCGCAGTGAGATAACTTTGGCTGGGGTTCGCATGCCCACACAAATGGCTCTGCATGCCACCTGTGGCACGTGTGCCATAGGTACGCCATCATAGCTATAGAATAAAGGTAAGGAAAGAAGAGGTACATTCAGAGTTGCAAGATTCGGTTACTTTAACCTTATAATAGAAACAGTTTTAGTATTGTTGACTAGTAGTCAAGTCTGATGTACATTGAAGGAGTGACACTGAGGCATGGATGGCCCGTTCTCCCCACAGCCATATGGAAGCAGGTGAAAACATGGCTCTTCTGGTGATACGTAGTCCATAATTTCAGCTTTTTTACTTTTAGTTGAAAATTGAATTGGAACTACTATTTTAAGTAATTATTCTGATTCTGTACCAGGTTTTTATTAAGTGAGTTCATCTGGAATCTGGTTGCTTTCATACATAAATATCATCAATAAATAAATACTTTCCCCTTCCCACCACCCCCGCCACTTATTTTCAATGTGAGGAGCTGTTGCAAAGAAGAGAAGGCAGAAAACTTTATTCTTGTGAATTGATTTTAAGTTCATTTACTTTACATTCTAAGGCCATTTATGAATAATTCCCTCCTCTCTAGCAGTATCTACATCCCCTCTGAGTGTTGTTCAGAAAGTATCTCTATGCATTAGAGAAACCTGAGGAATTTCTTTGTTATTACATACTGTATTATATTTTCTATTTTGGTTTGGTTTTCTTGTACACCACCCAGTTGGATGGAGTCAGTGGTGCTTAAATTGAATATATTAATTAAATTAATTAAATACTTGAAGTGGTAGAAAGCCGGAAGCAAAGATGTAATATTTGTAAACACATTTACAAAGATGTAAACACATTTGTTTATTATGTCAGTTCTTCTCCTTGCTTTATATGAGATTCAACAGAGGAAACATGATACTTAGTATTCTTATTGGATTTGTTGAGATGGGGAAGCAAAGCAATTCATGTGCATAATTAATACAATTATTACAATTATTCATAATTTGACAGGAAAGGGATTCCATGCTCTACCACTGGAATATGGGAAGTTTCTTAATAACAAGCCAGACTGTACATCAGGCTAGCTCAACATTTACTTCATTCTTATTTATTTTTTCATTTACTGGATTTTATAAAGTTGCCCAATTCAAACAAGGTGACTTTGTGTAGAAAAATGAATAAACCCAAAGAAGCACAAAATATTAAAACACGCTCAATACACAAATAGAAAATGCAAAATTTAAACTGTATTAAGAGTTAACACATTCGCTTTCTCAGCCTCATTGGAAAAATGGGAAAGACTAGAAATTAAATTGAGACCTTCTATATGCAAAGCAGAAATTCTTATCATGGATGGTCTTTCCTTAAACTAGCAAAAGGTTCTGTGAAGAATGCCTTCAGTAGTGGAGTTGCATAGAAATAAATATACATGGACAGGTATATTTTCCTGAAGTTTGCTTTGTTTCCATCCTATGGAATAGATCAATCACTTCCTCCACCTGGTTAACATAATGCAATTTTTATAGTACTTGAACTATTCTAAACAGCACAGGCACTACTAGAATTGTGTGTCCTTAGAACTGTAGATTTTATATCTGATCAAACATTTAATAGCAAACAGCTCTGACATACCATGTAGCAGACCTGATAGGATAAATCAATCTGATCTTATTATTTGACTACTGGCATTTTTCTGGGGAAATCCGGGATCTGAACAGGCTAGGGCTACTGTGAAACATTGCATGTACTGCCCAAAAGTTTCAGGTTAAAGTAGAGTGAAAGAGAGAAAAACAACAACAAATTTTCATGATATAATCTGGACTATATATACCCACCATTTCCTGGGAGATAATAAGAAATTGTTTTGTAGTCCTGAACCTCATTGACAGGGAATCCGAATCTAGTATGGAATCAAAGCTGTTAAGGATGAATTAAAAAGAGACTGTCAAAAAACCAAGATACAGAAGAAGGAAAGTTTGAGGTTAAAACAAATTGTGAAGATAGATGGAAAGATGGATGAAAGGAAGGAAGAAGGCAAAGCCAAGAAAACAAATGAAAGAGCTATTAAAGCAAACAAGAAACAGTATTATAATGACATCTGTAAAGACATTGAAAATGGAAACAGATACCCAAGGTCTCTTCCAACCCTGTTATTCTATGCTAATAACCTTCATTAAGATTAAGGGGACTAAGATTAAATGTATATAAAACCAAATTAATGACAACAGGTACAGCAACCAGCCTTAAAAATGACAGTGGAGATACTAAAGTGATAGATAATTTCTGCTTTTTAAGGTTGATAATCAACAGTAAAGGAACTTCAAGAAATATGCCATAGAGACTAGCATTTGGTAAAGTGGCTATGAAGGTCTTGGAAAATGTATTTGGATGTTGAGATTTGGATGTTCCTACAAAAATCAAAATCATGTTGCAATGGTTTTCCCTACAATATTCCATAGAAGCAAAACCTCAATTTTTGTTTTGAAAAAGCAGAATAGAAAAAGTACACTTTCAAAAAGTATTATGTTGATGTTTTCAAACTTTGGAGAAGACTCCTGAGAATACCAGGGATAGCCAAAAATAAACAAACCAATGAATCATTGAACTTGCAGAGTTCTCACACAAGACACAAATGACCAGGCTCCAATCATACTTCAGACATATTCTGCAAAGCCAGCATATGTGAGAAATCTATATTGTTGAAAAGGTGGAAGAAAAAGAGGATAACCAGCAGCAAGGCAGATGAACTCAATTAGAGTTCCAATGAGAGGAGGAAGAAGGACTAGGTTGGGAACACATTTCATGGAAAAATTTGTCTAAGACCCGACATTATCTGGATGACAAACACAATCTCCACTTCAGAGAGTCCTATAACTCTTATTTCTGTATTGTTCTGTAATTCATTCCATAACTTCAGTTGCAACCTGATTTGGTTGTGACCGGAAGCGAGACTGACTGCACATGCGCCTACAAAAGAAATGGTGCAGAAGAAAAAAATCGACACAGAAAGGGAATCAGCCGCAGCTATGTTTGATCGCCACCCGATTTTTGAATCGTGACCCGTTTGTGACCAGAGGTTCCATTGTATGTGGATCATGACAACCTTAAACTGTTCTTTTTTTAGAAAAACAAAAGGTGTGGCATAACACCACCAACAAATACCATTGTTTATTTAGGTGCGCCAAGCTATTCTTTTGATCTTCCACAATGCCTCTGAGTGATGGTAAGTATGGAAATTAGGAAAAATTAAAAAGATGGCTAGGTAGATGTACAAATCTAGTGCTCTTTGAAGTACTAGAAAAAACAAAAATGAAGAGGAAATGAGTGTGTCAACAATGAGCAGCTTAATCATGTTTATGGCTGAAACTTAGTAAAACTGGTATTCAATTAATACCAAAGGGATTTTGAATGTGTAGGAATAATTGAGTGCTCCTTTGGATTTTAACCAATGCCTGTACATTAAAAGACAAGATCTTGACTCTTTACGAATGTATCTTTTCTTTTATGTACACTGAAAGCATTTGCACCAAGACAAATTCCTTGTGTGTCCAATCACATTGGTCAATAAAGAATTCTATGTTCTATGAATAAACAAATGGAAACAGTGAAGCCTAGAATGCAAAAGTTAAAACAATCATTCTTCATTCTCAGAAAATACTTATTGTATGTAACCTCAGAATGTTTGGATGGAAGGAAGCTCCTCTGAGCAATAAAACCATAGAGGAAATTCTGTGTGCAGGAAAAGGTAGCACAATAAACTGGACAAAGTCATTATCTCATCAATGGGCAATAATCTCTCTCCATGAAAGTAATTTTGTTGGAGCACCCATGACAAACTCTTAAATTTACAAAAGCATCACAAAAGGCCCACAAAGGATGACCTATTCCTAGCTTATGCCATTTATTTATAAAAAGTTTTTAAAAACATGCACCTGGTCCTAAATCTTATTATCTTAAGCTTGAACTATCAAGTGATATGTTTACAGTATAGTATATGATTTTCTGATTGATGCTTGTGAAAATGCCATGGGAGCATTATAGAACTGCAAGCTCCTTTGATTTAAGATCCTGCTTCCCTGCCAGAGAAGCTGGAAGAAATGGAATGGAGCAGGTAATGGGAACCAGTTCACCATATTAAAGTTATGACATAAAGAAGGAAATGTAGCTAAATCTATTTTATACCAATATCATTTATTATCTTTCTCATTTCAAAGATCTCACCAAATCCATTCAGCAAGGATCTTCTCAACCTTCCCCTCTCCATTCATTCATCCATTCTTCCTTCACGTAGCTGTTCTACAATTTGATTTCTGAACAAACAACTTCAATGCATTTTGTACTGCTCAGTTACTTTTTTTTATTAAATTCATATTTAGTACCAATTCATTCTTGCTCCTATCACTTCTTGTACAACTCATTCAATCCTGATGGGGCTCAAGGTTGACTCAGGCTTCCATCCTTTGGAGGTTGGTAATGTGAGGACCCAGACTGTTGTGGGCAATATGCTGGCTCTGTAAACTGCTCAGAGAAGGCTGCAAAGCAAGCAATGTGAAGCAGTATATAAGTCTAAGTGCTATAGTTCTCAAGTAATCCATTCCCTTTGCATACAATTTACATTTATGTTTCTCCTTATTCCAACTCTTATTTCCATATTATACAATGGATAAATGCCCTCGCTTAGGCTTAGCAAGTGTAAATAGTTTCAATACAGAGCTAATAAATCTGCACCATGACACTACTTATCAATGCCGTTGTACTAGGTCAAACTTCCATTAAGTTTTATTCCATACAGTGTTCTGACACATACTCAAAATCTCTGAAAGTCATTTGTTTTACCATGTACTTCTGACTATTTCACAGCAAAAGATTTCTATGATATATCTCCAAAATGATCATTCAAAATATTAGGTGGAAAATGAGATCTTAAACCCTATCAACGCTCCTGCATTCTACTGAAACAGATTGTTCTTCTTAGCATTTTTTCTTCTAGGTAAGGGGGATTTCCGACTGGAAATAAAAACCCATGTAAGGAGGAAATCCTTCCAAGAAGATATTGCACAAAAATACTGTATATAACCTGCACTTCACTTTAATTTTGAAGTTATCCTTGCCTTTTCCACAGCCACTCTTTTTTGTAGTAACTCTGTGGTTTGTATTTTAAAAAGTGGATTGTGGTTGTTGTTGTGTAGGATTGTGTCCTGAAACCACCTGATTCTGATCCTCCGGTGCACAAACAAGTCAGACTGAAATAAAATATATAGCCATATTTATACTAGTAATAATTATTTATTACACTGTCAGTAGAGTTTGAAGGGGAGAAGGAAAGGATTGTAGGCAAGTGCAATAGCAAAAGTCTTTCTGATTTAACCTTTCCTGAATGATTTTGCAACATTACTTTTTGGCCAGGAACGCTAACCCCACATGAATGACTCTATTTGCGCTTCTTTCTCACAATGTTCTAACACCTCTCAGAAACTGGGTTCAAATGTCAAAGGCTCAATGTCACTGTTCTCATATGGGTCTACACAGAAGAAATTGTGGAAAATACAATTATTGCTGGTTTAGCAAAAATGGATGAAGAAAAGCAACGTCTTCATATGTTAATCACACAAGCATATTTATCCTAAAATGCAAATACTGATTGTTAAGAAGCTCTGGCACGGTAATCGGTATTTTTGCAATTTGAAAGTTTATTCTGCTAAGTCTAGAGAAAAAGCTGTTTTATCTCAAATCTCCACAATCAAATTTATCAAACCTATTTTAGAATTACTACAGCACTTTAGGATTTATTCATGAAGATCGGCTTTCCTTAGTCTATTGTGCTCCATCTAGTGGGCTTCCACAGAATTTTAAGCACAGGAAAAATGGTAGCAGTTACTTCCAACCAACCTGGGCTTCCCAAAAGAAGATTCTCTGTGTGAAAAGAAGAATCGATCTGACATATGTTATGGTGTGTATGATTCCTTCAACATGTATGACAACATCATTCTAGTGAGAGAAAATGGTGCTGATGTGGCCCAACACTGGGCGAATGTCGTTTAGTTTTAATCCTTATTTTATGTACTTTTTACATGCACTATATTTTATGACCTATTTTACAACTATTTTATTTGGTCAGTATTGAATGTTATATGGTTATAATGTGAAAGTGTTTCTGACACGAATAAAGAATCTGGTTTGATTCAACTGACATATGCCATGGTTTGTTTACTCTCCATTTATTAACTCAAACACAAGGCTGGATTTCCATAACATGTTAAGCACAATCAAACCACATTGTAATGATGTCCTGTATGAATAAAACCAATTACTTTTATATAAATAGTCCATAATTTAACTAGAATGTGTCAAAAAGAAACATTATGCTGGGTTTATACACTTAAAAATTTGTTCAATGGAGTCTCCCAAACCAGCATTATATTAGAAACAAATGAGAACATTCATTCATTCATTCACCTTTAGAAATTGCCTACAGGGTCTCTGGGTAGTCTACAAATAAAAGTTTAAAAACATAACAACTAAATATAAAAATTTAAAATTGAGGAAAGGATAGTTAAAACTTGGCATTAAATATTAATTAAAAGGTGGGGCAGGGACTTCAGAGTGCACCCCTCTGAGCCCTAAAAGAGACAGCAGAGTCAGTCTTTAGATAGTTTTGAAAGGTCTGGAGATGGGGGGGGGGACACAACCTCACCTCGGGGGGGGGGGGAGGCTGTTCTAAAGGGTGGAGACAACCTCAGAGAAGGCTCCCTTCCTGAGCCCTTCCAATCAGAATTCTTTAATGTTGTCCACAACATACCTTTCCTGCCTGACTAGGTGGGATGGGCTGTTGGGGCGAAGCTGGTTCTACAGGTAACCTGGCTCCATACCATGTAGGGCTTTAAAGATCACCTTAATCAGACACAGAAGCAAATCTGTGCGCTCTCAGCACAAGTGCCATTATATGCACTATTCGTTGGGTGCCCAACATTGATATCTTTTGTATCAGCTTGAAGCATCCAGATACTTTTCAAGGATATCCCCATGAAGATTGTATTGCAATCCAAAAGGGAGATGACCAGAGCATGAGTGACCGAGTAGAAAGCTTCCCTATCCAGGAAAGTGTGTAACTGGTGCACAACAGAAAGTCGAGTAAGGGACCTCCTTTATCTTAAGAATAACCTGTAAATAATACTTGTATAAACTCCTCAAAAGCCCCCTCAAAAAATCTTTGATTGCAACAACCCTAGCAGAACTGATTTATCCATAGGAGCAATGACCCACGGATATTTTTTTACAAGTATTCAGCATAGTTAATTTCCTGTTATTGGTACATTGTATTCTGCCATTTTCACAGAATTCCACTTGTTTTAAGGAGAATTTTTGTAATGTGATTTCTTCATATATTCTAGTGCTCTCTGATTTGATTAGCTGGCTTTGGAAAACAGATGATTCAGGCTGTTTCTCAAAAAATACTTTTTTGCCTGAAATAGATAAGAATGCAATTCCCAAAGCAGTTCCTCTCAAGACACCCATCCTCCCAGTTTTACTTAAATCTGGTTGATTTGACTGGTTGCAAAATTGGCAATCCTGATTACTTTTTTAAGTATAGATATTTTTTGTCTGAAACAGTAGACTGTGGTTCCTGTAAAAACTTTTGGATTTATTTTATCATATTCTTGTTGCTCTTACTGATCTTTAATATACCCAATCACTTCTGGTATCAATATTATTTTAAAAGTGCCACTTCTATTGTCATTTTCATATCATTTCCACAGATGACAGTGCTAACACTGCTGTCACCTGGTTTTTCAGTATTCTCAGTTTATTCTTCATTGTATCTATCTATCTAAATACATATGGTATATTCTTTGATTGGGGTATGTCTTTGTCCAGGGATGGGATCCAACCAGTATAACTACCGGTTCTGTTGCTTTGCGTCACATGCGCATGTGTGAGTCGCGCGAGTGTAATTTATGACCTGCTGAGCTGCCCGGACAGCTGAGCAGTGCTGGGTGCGAGTGTGCAGCGGTTGGAAAAACCCCTTTTTCCTGCTTTTTCAACTGCAGCTGTGTCGTGCAAAGCTGCTGCGGTTGAAAAAGCAGGAAATAAAGGTCAGGTAAGAGCCCGGGCTGGCGGGCGGGTGGGCCAAAACATCAGCAGACGTAGAACCAGTTCTATGTATGTTCTCTGTTCGCTGCTTTTCAGAGCAACCGGTTCTACAGAAGTGGTCAGAACTGGTAGAATCCCACCTGTCTTTGTCTAAATGTTAATAGCAATAGCACTTAGACTTATATGCTGCTTTATAGTGCTTTACAGCCCTCTCTAAGCGGTTTATAGATTCAGCATATTGCCCCCAACAATTTGGGTCCTCATTTTACCCACCTCGGAAGGATGGAAGGCCGAGTCAAGCTTGAGCCTGGTGGGATTTGAACTGCCAAATTGTAGGCAGCTGGCTGTAGAAGTAGCTTGCAGTACTGCACTCTAACCACTGTGCCACAGAGGCTCCCTAATGAAGCTGCTGCTGCTTTAGTTCTTTGCACAAGCCTTGCATTTCCTGTTCATGTGTCCCACTGTTGCAATGTCATGCTGACTGCATTCACAATTGCCAACAGCAGACACCACAGAACTTCCTGGTGTGCTTGCACAACGTGCCGACACTCTCACAGTAACAAATATCTGACTATCACAGGACTAGCTCAGCATAACATTAACACAGGTTCAGCAGCACTTGTGGGATCAACCTAAGAGGTGGGCAGACCCTATCTAGTAAGAGAAGTTAAGTGGCATAAGAGGAAGTGGTCCAGAAACCCAATTCACCTGACAGCCACATGATTTATATTCAGATGCTTTGAAAACTCAGTCTCCCAGGGTCATGTGATCACCTTTTTTTTTTCAATCTCACCACAAGCAAAAATCAATGGGGAAAACCAGACTCATTGAACAATCCCGTTATTTACTAATTTAACAAACTGCAGTGATTCACTTAACAAACGTGTCAAGAAATAATAAAATGGGGCAAAACCACCCCTCTCTTAACCACTTTCTCACTTAGCAACATTATTTTTTTTCGGGGGGGGGGGGGCTCAACTGTGCCCGTAAGCCAAGAACTATCTGTACTACATCACAGGGGTGTACCACTTGGTGCAAAAACTACCACTAGAGAAGAGAGTCTCAAGAGAGTCTTGCCCTTGGGGCAAGTGCCGAAAATTTTCTTTACCTATCAAGGTAGCAGAGAAATCACCTTTTTCTTTTTACAAAATCCGATCTTCTTGGTCTAAGGAGGTAAGTTTCGTGTGTGTGTGTGTTGGGGGGGGGGAGGGTAGGGAAAAACCCGCGCCTCCCCGGGGGACCCCCGGGAACCCCCCCCCCCCCCCCCCCGCACAAAGAGGTGGGGGAGATACCAAGCATCCCCTCTGCCCCCACGTTAAGGAGGAAGCCTGGCTCGCTCTTTCGTCTCTCTCCCCCGCGACCCCCCCCCCACCCAAAAAACAACCCGACTGGTAAAACCGCCGCGTGGTTCTGGACCGGCAGGCTTGTGGGACCGGGTGAACCACCCTCTCCTGCCCCCGCTCGTCACTCCCGAGATGGGAGCCGCTGCACTAGCCACCCCTCGTGCACTACCCGGAAGCAGAGGGAGGCGAGGGCGGGTCTTCGGCCGGAGACAAAACGGGTGGTGGGGCCCGGCGCCGCCGGAGGGATCCAGAGCGTGAGCTCGGGTGGCGGAGCGCCCGCCCTCCCACCGCTGGACGCGGCGCAAGGAGCGATGTGATTGGGCGGGCGGCCCATCCTCGGCTTTCTCCTCGGCTGCTCTCCTCCTCCGGCTTGTTTTGCTCCCGGGTTCCCTGGTGGAGGAAGGTACGCGGTGGGCGGGTGGGAGGGAGAGCGGGCTGGCAATGCGGCACCTTCGCCGCCCGGGGTCGGGAGGGAAAGGCCGATGGCAGAGCCTCTTCCTCGAGTGGGGGCTTAATTGCTCGGATTGGTGCTCCAGCATTGCCTAGGAGCCCCTCCCGTCCCACTTGGCACCTGGCAACTTTTAGTTCCCCTTGAAACCCCAGTTTGGGGGTCGGGGGTGGAGCTGGTGGCGGTGAGGAGAAGGAAGGCATGGATTCCCCCATGGCGAGGAAATGCCAGAGGGCAGCCTCTCAATCTAGTTGAATTTGGGTGGGTGGGTGGGGGAGAGACCGCGAGGGAAGGGACCAAGGCGCTGGACATCCTTGAGTCCTGGGCTTCTGGCTCTAAAGTTCTACCCTGGAACATGGGATCTCTCACGCGGTTTTTCTTCTCGGAGGAGGAGGGGTGTCTTTGCCCAGCCCTTGGACGGAGTTGTATTGTTTCATCTATACCTCAGATTTTGGGTAGGGGGAGTTAAACACAGCAGACATGGGAGATATATACAGGGGTCTGAGCTTGGCTGATCTCAAAAAGAAAAAAAGAAAAGAAAAATTAAGCAGGATCAGTTACTATTTGGATTGGAGGCGGCCAAGAAGTCTTCAGATTATAAACCTGAGTGGGAAATTAAAAAAAAAAAATCCCAGAAGAAGGCATGGCCAATTATTTCTATAGTGCTGCCAAGAAAATGTGTAATATCCATAAAATCACCAGAGGGAAGGGAGTTCAATCTCAAGGAGACTTGATAATCCACTTAAGGTACTTTCAAGAGGTGTGCTATAAAAGAAAATTCTCGACAGAGAAAAAAAGGGTGAGAAAAAAAGTTGTCCTTCAGACTGAATTTTGTTTGTAGTTACCTGGTATTAATGAATTTAATAACTGATTTTCTTGCCCTCACATTGCTAGCAGTGGAAATGCATCCTTTTGCATTGTATGAATACCTCTCTCACGGGCTGGACATTTAAAATAGATTTGGTTTTTGAATGGTTCTGTGGAAGTGTGCTATGTTTAGAGGAGGGTATAGCAGAGACGCAGTGTAGATAAAGATCAATATGTAAGAGAAAGATCCATTAATGTGGTTTAACAGAATAACCATATGGCAGGTTAGATAGCAGTGAAAAACCATTTGTTACAAAAGATACAAATGATAAACAGTGGCAGTATCATTCTTACATTTTCTTCATAAGTTTTCCAATATTTTATACATTATTCCCTTTGGGAATAATGTATAAAATATACATTATTCCCTTTATACATTATTCCCTTTGGGAATAATGTAGTTTTAAAATCTTATGGAAAATTATAGTTAGTGCGTCACCCTTTTGTATGTGTGTGGTTGTGTATGCCTTTGAGTCAACATTAACTCCTGGTGATTGCCTGAACAAGTTCCTGAGTTTTCTTGGCAAGATGTTAGAAGTGGTTTGCCATTGCCTCCTTCCTAGGTCTGGAAGGACTGACTTAGGGTTTCCCAGTTGGCTTTGTGTCTAAGGCAGAGATAGAACTGTCCCAATTTCTAGCACAGGTGTATCCATCCCCATGCAGCCCTGGATGGGCTGCAGTGCTGCCCACTTAGAAGATCATAAACTTATTTTTGTAAGCTGCCTAAAGTCACTTAAAGTGAGTAGGCTATATAAATTCTCAAAATAACTATATATAGGCCAAGACAATTCCTCTTCACTTAATGAGACTCAGGCAAGCCAAAAATTTGGATATGCCTATTCAGGGATGTCCGACTCCTAATCAGTATACCCTAGTGGCTCTGTGTCACTCTTACAGAATATAAATATTGTCCATGGACTATAGCTACTATATGGAAAGCAATACTTTTATGGTACCCATTTTCTATAGGTAAAATGAAAACCTGCAGTGAAGTTTTACAATACTGAGTAGTTATTTTCATATGAAGTCTTTAATTATTTGGAAGAATGGAATTAACATATATGTTATAAGGGAACACCAAAATTTCAAAGTATGCATCTCATAGTGTGAACAGAGGGGTTAGATTCAAGAAGATCGGTAGAGAAGTGAAGAAAATTAATTCAAATTAATTCAGAAAGTTATATTTATTTTCTTTGTTTTCTGCAGACAGAACCTTCTGGTGGATCCTGGTATTTAGTACAACACTGTTATACCTTTTAAAACAATATTGTCATTATCATTGGCAACAAAATTTGTAAATCAAGCTCTGGAACAGATTGTTCTCATTGCTACATGCTTCAAGTAAAAGTATGCTGTAGAACTGGAATAAAGTTCCTGTAATGTTGCCTTGAGATGATTGTTTAGTGTTTGTGCTGATAAAATAGTTCAACATTTAGGGTGGTTTTAATGATTGCTCAGATTGCCCCTCAGCCTCAATTAGAGCAGCAAACAGAAACAGAAACTACAGTGCTGTGTACAAGACTACAGACCTCTCCTATGACTGCAGTAAATATTACTGTGGTATTACAACTCAGTTCTATGACTTTAAAATGTATCCACGGTTTATATTAAGTTCTTCATAAACTTCATCATGAAATTATTGCCTAGAACTGCTGTGCAGATAAGTTGCAATACAGATCAGTTGGTCTGAAGGTACTGCCTGGACTTTCATTAATGTGCTTGATCTATTTTCCCAGAAATTCAGAATTAGAATCTTTAGAGTATTTTCACAAAAATGATACTAAATTAAAGGTATGAGCATCTATGCAGCATTAATGCTATATCCAGGTCTCTCTTTAAATAGTGTGAGTTTTAAAACAGTTTTAAATTAAATTGTTTTAAATTATTGAGATTTCCTTTTATATATTGTTAAATTGTAGCTTTTTTCTGAAAAATGAAAGCAGGTGTGCATGTGTGTTTCATTCATTCATTCATTTTCACCATTCTAAATTCAGTATGCTCCTAGTTTGGAGAAAAGTTCAAACTAAAGCCACTATGCCTCTATATATTGTAACCAAAAGAAAAAGTGTTTTTTTAACAGCCACAAAATCATGTACTGCCTACAGTTCTGCAATTAATTTAGAATGTTGGGATGATTCATGGCAGGAATAAAAGCTGGTTAGACATCTTACTCTGCTGAGCAATATGTGCCCATAGCTCTCATAATCATACTGGGATGAGTGATACTGAGAGTTACACATTCCTAGTTTGATATAATATACCTTTGCATGATGAAAGTAGAGAGAATTTTAAACAAAATTTGCTGCTTATAGAAGTATGCTTCAGTATCACTGTGTGATTGGTAAATGATCAGAATTATAGAATGTTGAATCAAAATGTTGGTTTTCTTCAGATAAGAACTCTGATGTCCCTAGTTATTTTTGTTATTGTTTTTATATGTTATTTTGTTTTGCTTTAATCATTGCATCCCAGTTTTCAGAAAAAAGCAGCCAATTCTGTGGAAAATCTTTTTACACATAATTCCTTTTCATACTAGATGGAAAGTGTCTCATATCCCACCCTCCATGAAAAACAAATGAGACTTTAATAATCAAGTAATGAATGCCATAAACCACCAATTAATTGCTTGGGAACCCTTTTAAATGCTTATAATAATCAAACATAACAATAATTCTGATACTAGTATATGTTGGAAGGTGATCTGTATCTTGCATAAGGAAGGAATTCAGTCCCGTGGTCTTGCTGTAATGAAACAGAATAAGTATCATAAGCATAATTTGCTGAAGGCATTAGTTCTATAGCTCCCAGTTCTAAATATGTTATCTGTGTGCTATGCTGGGGCATTGTTACCAAATAATACGTAGTTGAAACTTGAGGATATCTACTAATATTTGCTAAAGAAACTTTAAACAAAGTTTAGCAGCTTTTTTTAAAGATCTAAGGGATCTTTAAACAAAGGCTGAAAATAAAGGTGAATTCAGTGAATTACTCAATTACTACACATGTATTCTTTTCATATAGAAAGAGGGTTAATGTATTTATTTTTATATTGCTATCTACTTATATAACATTTTCACCATTACGTGTGAAATATCTTGGGCTGAGAGTGAAGCACAAATGACCCAGTCAGCTCCATACCTGAGTGGAGCTGAACTTGGAATGGCTAGACCAGGACTGCTTACTTTAAAACTACTACATTATATACTTGCATAAGAACCACATATGCATATAGAAGTGGGGTGCAATGGCTCCTCAGTTAAAGATGCTGGCTTGTGAGCTGGAAAACTGAGAGCTTGGTTTCGAGATCTAGATACTATGCAATGGGATGAGTTCGAGTTACTGGCTCTAGCTCCTGCCAAGCATGCAAATGCGAGTAGATATTAGGTACCATTTCAGTGGGAAGGTAACAGCATTCCAGCATATAGTCATGCTGCCCACATGACCATGGAAGTGTCTCCAGATAACGCTGGTTCCCACCACTAAGAATTGGAGATCAGCACCACCCTGTAGAGTTGGATAAAACTGGACAAGAAACCTCTTTATGCATATAGAATAAAAATATTCCATAGGGGGAAAAAAAATTGGAATATAGTAAGGGCAAGTAGGAAAAACTGAACACATTTTAGACAAAAGAAAAAACGTCTCACCAATCTGCCTCATTGAGAAATCAGCTCATCTAAAGGGCAATTAGAAGTTAGGGCACCTGGCTACAAAGACAGGTCAGTTAGGCCCTGCTCAGTTATCAGCAGTCTGCATAGCAGGCCACTTTACCTCTGAAGATGCCAGCCACAGTTGCTGGCAAAATGTTAGAAAACCAGTCCTCTGGTCCAGGGAGTCCCAAACTTGGCAACATTGCGCGGACTTCAATGCCTAGAATTCCCCAGCCAGTCTTAAAATTGCTAAAGTTGAGAAACACTGGCTTATACTAAGCAACTCTTATTATTGTGTACTATTGTATGTTACTTTTCTTCACAATGGCCAATTATTTTTGTTTTTAAGGTGCAGAGCATGGAGAATGATGAATTTCCGTCAGAGGATGGGATGGATTGGTGTGGGACTGTATCTAATAGCAAGTGCTGCAGCATTTTATTATGTCTTCGAAATCAATGAGACTTACAGTCGACTAGCACTGGAACACATTCAGCAGCCGCCAGAGAAATTTAAACAAGAAATCAGTTGGATGCATTCCTTAAAAACACGTCTTCTCTCTGTACCCTTTTGGCTATGGGCCATTATCTTTTTAATACCTTATTTACAAATGTTCTTATTTCTTTACTCATGTACGAGGGCTGATCCTAAAACAGTGGGCTACTGCATAATTCCTATCTGCTTGGCTGTGGTTTGCAATCGCCATCAAACATTTGCAAAGGCCTCCAATCAAATCAGCAGACTGCATCTTATTGACACGTAAGGAAATCAGTGTGGCTTGCCCTCTCCCATTCCCCTGTGGCTGGGTTTTGATAAGTTGGAAGACCATTTGAATATCTGAAAAGAACTTGAAATTCTTTTTGTCAACATTAACCTCTGGACAGAACACCTACCAACCTTCTATTTTTTTTAACAAGATGATTTTTAACTATGGGGGTATTCTATTTGGTGAAAAGTTCTTTGAGAACAGGGGGTAACATTCTTCATATTGGCCTTACAAAGCAGTTTCTACACTCCATCTGAAGATTTTAGAATAAATATATATTTGAAACTCTAATTCACTGTGCATATTCAAAACTTCAAGTTTCCTATAAGCGAATTGCTGAAAATTGAATTTACCTATGTTTATGTGTAAATTTTGGAATTATTATAAAAGTGGCATTTGAGACATTATCCTTTCTCCTTTGATGATGTTGCACTAAATAAAATGGGATTCCTTTTGCACATGATATGCTTAAAAGAAAATTATCCTTTCATAAATTTCTGCATAATTTCTTTAAAATGTAATAACTGCTGCTCATGTTTGAAAAACAAGCTGATGTTTAATTGTCCATTCTCTAACTACCTGAATCATTGAAAAGACAGTGAAATGCATTGTATATAAAATAACTAGAAGCAAATTCTGTAAACACAGCCTACAGGTACAGCAGCAATATTCTGAATATTGATGATTTCTGAGAACTGGTAAGCTCATAGAGATGCTGTTCGGAAGGTTAATTGGGTGCAGAAATGGGGGGAACAGTGGTTCAGATAATATCTACAAATTCAATTTCTGATCACTTGGATAAATAGAAATTTCAGAACAGAAAGTTCCACATTCCCGGTTTTTAATCCTTGCAAATAACATACATTTATACTACTCAAAACTACTACTACAAAAATGTGTGTGCCTGACTCCCAATTTTGAGAGATTACAAATAAAATATAAAAGAAAAATACAACAGTAGACAAAAGGAAAACACCTCCAGGTATGAACAAAAAATAAGGCAAGAGTAAAAAAAAGAAATCTAAGGCCAGAAGGTAAACTGAGTAAGCATCTCAGAACCACCACCCCCTCTAGTTCTCATGAAGATAAAGGGAGATCGGGGGAAGTACATTCAGACTTTTAAGATTCTGCTACTATAATCTTATATCAAAGGAAATATTAGTATCTTGAAGGGCTATAACAGTCTTGGCAGTCTCAGTATGCTTAACCTCTTCCTCTGCTTGCTCTTTCTTCCACTTCTGCTCACCCACACCTTCTAATTTGACTTTCCCCTTTCTAACTTGAAAGCATGGTGAAGTATGCTCACCTGGCTTTCTAAAGATCTTGAAAAAAAAAATGGCTAAACTTGCCAGCTGTAGACATAATGCCCATCAAATAGCTAGGGTTGGCCAGCTTTGATTTTAAGATGTGGATGCTTGTGGACAATGTGCTGGTCAGTTTTTCTCTTTCTTGGCAGATTAAAGAGCAACTAAGTGCTTCCCCCTGAGGTTTTCTGGTAGAGGCTGGGCTGTAAAACTCTTGGAGGGGGGGAATTAGCTGAGCCTAGACTTGTTGGGAGTTGAGGAGGGTATTTCTGCCTAGCAGTAGTTGCTCCAGTCAAGCGTTTTCATTGTTGCCTTTCCCAAGCAGAAAGGGTACTTTCAACTTTGCTTCTTTTTTCCTCACACATACGATCTTGTTGAATCATTTCAATTTACAGATACAAAACTTGAGTATTTTAAATATCCAAACCTTCAATTTTTTAAAAGATAAATTTTCATAGTACAGGAACTTTAATTTTTTTAAAAAAAGTTATAGTTTCTATCAGGAGTGTGATTTTGTCCGTTTTAATGGTGGTTCATCTGAGTATGCTTTGGTGTTGATATGCTTTCCTTCTTCCTCCTCTTCCTCTTCTTCATCTCCATCTTCATCATCATCTACAAAAATAATAATTGTCACATAGAACTATTTTTCCACTAACAAGTGCCTCCCAAAGTAATATACTACTTTTGATAAACATTTCCATAATCAAATCCATTTTTCTCTGCTAGATCGAAGTTCAAAATACATGTAGGCAAAACATTATACTCAAAGTTGTGGTTCTATGCTTTAGAAATAGATATTTCCTTAGGTATTAGTTGTGTTATTGTGTTTGAATGACAATCTAATTCACTCAGCTACTCCCCCAAAATACATCTATACTAATATACACTAGTAATGTAGGGTAAGCATTCTCCTAACTGAACAGTGAATTGGAATTATCAGTATTCACCTAGCTACTTACAGATGACTAGGAAGTAATCACGTTGAATTTTTTTCTATACAACCTTTCAGAAAATACAGAATAAAATCTGTACTCTAGTGCAGTCAGCATCACGAGAGATAGAAATTCAGCCTTTCCAATGCTTTTCTAACCCCCTTTATAATTGGGCTAGTGAAGATGAATTATAAAAATCACAGAGTAGTTTTCCCAGAGCTGACTAACTTTTGAAGGGCCCATCTAGACTTCTGTATACAGATGTAAAAATTAACCATCTGTTAACTGTCCTGTTCCAGTTTGAACAATATGACTGACCAGAGACATTACTGTAGTCCTCAATATTGGTTAAGAATTGATACTGACTTTTCTGACATTCCTGCTGCTGCTCTTTATGTTTCTGTTGAGCCTTAAAAAGTAGCTGATTTTCTCTGACAATTTTGAATGGTTTTTCATGAAGATATTAACACTTGATGATATTGTGTTTGTGTTTAAAAAGGCATGATGTGAAAGCTATCAGTTCCCTGACCATAGAAAGTCCTTGTGCAGATTATCAGAGCAAACAGTATTTACAACAAATGAGAGAATTTCCACTTAGAAAGAGCAAGGTGGTTTCAGAGCAAGCCATGGCTGCGTGTGCCAGATTTTTACCATCAAGCAAGCAAACTGCTATTATGTTTATGGTTGCTATCTTTAAGAGCATTCACTGGGACTTGGAGTACAAAGCTGTTTTGGTGATCAGCATACACAGCAAAATCACCTGAGCCTTTCCTACATTTTAGGATACAGTTAAAGTTCACAAAGACAAAACCAACCCTTTTAGTCAAAATAGGACTGTGATGAAGGCATGTATTATAACCACTGCTGTTGAAGAAGGTGCTAGGTTGGATAATGGGGAAAAGTCAGAGATACAAGAAGCAGATAAATTGAATTTCACAGATGCAACGTAAGTCAATGACTCTGTTTTCACAGAGAAATCAGAACTGAAGGCACAGGAACTATTAGGTGTCATAAACAAGAAGAGAGAGGCTTCGACTACTTAAAAAGACCATGACTGTCAACTCATGACTCAAAAATTAACATGGCCTTTAGAGATGAACCAATTGAACTGGTGGCTAAGTTCAAAAATCTAGCTCTCTGCCTTTGAATCAATGTTGCCAGATTCAATGATGTTGGGTGAATTGGAAGTGATCAGTCAGCTTTTACCAATAGTATGTCTTTGAAAAAGGAAAAACAAAATTAGGATTCAATGCAGCCATCGTGCTACTCTATACAGCAGAGAAATGTGGACAGTTTACTCAGCACCTATGGACATTTCAGATGAAGTGTTTTAGGACTATCCCGTATGATTAATAGTGGAATATGAACATTAGATAGATATGTCAACAGTCCATAACTGATATGATCTGGCAATCATCAACCAAAGCAACCAGTACCAGTTCCAACCAATGACCAGGCATGAATCCTAAGTGACAGTAATGTAATACATTTTTATTAAATTATTTATTTGTACCCCACCTTTATTTTTACAAATACCTCAAGATAGCAAATATATCCAACATATTCTTCCTACCCTGTGAGGCATGTTGGACTGAAAGTGACTGGCTCAAAGTCACCCAACTGATTTTTATGGCCATATTTTATCTGTGATACTCTGTTTAACCCCCACATTCTCTTTCTCTAAATTTTCTAAAAAGGGGAGGTTGGAAACTGAGTGAAAGTGTAAAAAATGAATTGGTCAAGGGAGAGATTATAGCAAGGGTGCATTATTGCTGTCTTCAAAACAGGTTGCATCACATCCTTTCTCGAAGATATATGATTATCTCATCTCTCCTGAGGATCTCAAGTCATTCCAACAAAACAATCATCGTTCATTCTTGGTTTTATGAATGGGCCAATCTTGTCTGTCACTAACCTATGGATTCTTACTTTCACATGCACTCACAACTAGATGACACCAATTTAATGATTCTGACATATGCTTCAGCCCTTTTATTCATGATTAAACCTACACCTTAATTTCTTTGCATGTATTCAGCAATTCTTCTCCATAAGATCCAGCCAATTTCATTCAGCTCCATTACATCCTTCCTTTTTCTCTTATAAGCACCAGCAGTCAACATTTTATATATATATATATTTTAATGTATGGTCTTTACTTTTTTCCTCCTTTTACATTCCTATTTGCACTATCTTCCATAGGTCATTCACATGACCTTTGGGGCACCTAGATCTTTATACCCTCCATCCATGTTAGACAAAGCCTTCAGATGACTCTCTTTAGTCTAAAGATGTGGTATATATTACCACACCTTAATTCTATCCATGATGCCAAACGCACCCTTCCCTGCTAATAATGATAGAATAGAAAATAATAGAATAGAGCTGGAAGGGACCTTGGAGGTCTTCTAGTCCAGCCCCATTTCAGATATCACGGTGGTCAGTTTGGGTACGTTTGGACCAGTATTCTCCAAGCACAATCCAAGCCCCATTTGATCCCTCCTTCGTTTGCGAGCTGAAACAGAGCAATCAAAAATCTGTCCTCACAGGAGCCGCACACAGTAGGAACGGCCACCATAATAATATCAAGGGCAACAAGCCGGTTCCAGAAACCAGCCCCTCACCTCCACGCTCATCCCGGTCTCCGGAGGCAGCGACGCTCTCCTTCTGCACCAGAGGGTCAAGCCGAGCGGCGACTTCCTCCCGCAGCCGAGACAAGCCCGCCAGCAGGCCCCGCAGTTCTCCCGGAGGCTCACACTGAACACGCCACGCTCGTTTCAGGCCATCGCGGCCGGTCAACTCGGCCTGCAACTCCATCGCTCGGTTCCCGGCGCCAACGAGGAGCCAATCAGCTTTAGCGTATCCGCCTCTGACGAAACGAGCGGCTCCTTCAAGTTCTCCTCCCCTAATTTAACGCGCATGCGCCACCCAATCCCGCTCGCTTTTGTCGTTGATACGATACGCAGAGGAGCTCTTCCGACCGCGCATTGTCTCCGCCTCCGTCCGCCTCTGCGATTGGCTGCCGCCGCTCACGTGCAGGCGGCCCGTTTGTTCTCCGCCGCGACTTGTTTTTCCGCTTCCGGTATGCGCGGAAGCGTCGCCTGGCGGCAGGTTCTCGTTTTCCCGCCTTTTCCTCCTCCTCCCCCTCCTCCTCCTCCTCGGGCTTTTTGCGACGGAGCGAGCGAAGCAGCGACGTCAGGGATATGGAAAGGTCGGCGGCTGCTTCTGGCGCTCCAGAAGAGGAGGGCGGCAACGACAGCAACACTTCCACGGGCGGCGAAGAGGGGGACAGGAACGCCGAGGAGCCCGTCGTGTCGCTAGCCGAGGTGCTGGCCGAAAGCGAGGAGTTGGAGAATGAAGCGCGCGCCGTGCTGGGCGGGAGCGACCACGAGCGTTGCAGTTACTCTCAGGTGAGAGGCGAGGGCGGGATGGAAGGGCTGCTTCTCCAAGGCGCTTCAGAAAGCTTCCTCAACCTCTTTACCTTCAGTTATGTCGGACTTATTTCCCCCCACGCCATTCAGCCCCCTCAGATTCTCGGAAGATTGCCTGGACAAGTCCCTGCATATACAGGTAGCCCTCCACTTGCAACAGTTCGTTTAGTGACCGTTCAGCACTGTGGTTTTTCACACTTATGATCGTTGCGCGCCCCCCCCCCCCATGGTTACTTGATTTACATTCAGATGCTTGACAGCTGATTCACATTTATGACGGTTGCAATGCCCTAGGGTCCTGTGATCATCTTTTGTGACCTTCCGACAAGCAAAGTCAATGGGGAAACCAGATTCACTTAGCAACCTGTTACTAATTTTAATAACTGCGGTAATTCACTTGACAAGCGTGGCAAAAATAAAGTTGTAAAATGGGACAAACTCACTTAACCAATGTTTCACTTGGCAACATAAATTTTGGGCTCAATTGTGGTTGTAACTCAAGGACTACCTGTATAGCCATAGCTTGGTACTGAGAATGGGGAAATTAATGTGGAGAATGGTTTTTCAGAAGTGGTTTTGCCATTGCATCTTCCTAGGGCTGAGAGAGAGTGACTGGCTCAAGGTCACCCAGGTGGCATTGTGTCTAAGGTGGCAGGGCTGGAACTCGGTTTGTAGTCTCTTCCCTTAATCACAACACTAAACTGGCGGATTAGTGGTGGACTATATCGTATGTCTGTGTGCAAGCATGCCTTTGAGTCATTATTGACTCTTGTCAACTGCTGTACTACTAGTCTCTTCGGGTTTTTGGGTTTTTTTTGCAGAATTTAGGAAGTGGTTTACCATTGCCTCTTTTTTTAGAGCTGAGAAGGAATGACTAGCCCAAGGTCACCCAGCTGGCTGCTGCTTAAGGCACAATTAGAATTCATAGCCTTCTGATTTCTAACCTGGTGCCTTGAGACTACACAAAATTGGCTCTTTAAAGCTGACATCAACCAAGAAGATCTTATCACCTTTTTGATCTGTAGGTTTGGTTTTATTATAATCAACCAATTATTAGCTCTAATGACTGAAAGATGCTAAATTTCTGTATTTATACATTTAATTGCAGTTTTCAGACATTTTTAAAAAGAAGTAAATGTGATCTTTTTAATATTTTTTCAATAAAAGGTACTATAACTTAAAATTGCCACATGTATTAAGGCCAGTATAAACTGTGAGATGGTTTCTACCACACAAAAACTTTTTAGTATTAAAAAAGAAAAAGCCAAATAATAAAGTCAAATCTGTCCTAGCGAGCACTCAATATACACTGCTCAAAAAAATAAAGGGAACACAAAAATAAAACATCCTAGATCTGAATGAATGAAATATTCTTATTAAATACTTCATTCATTACATAGTTGAATGTGCTGACAACAAAATCACTCAAAAATTATCAATGGAAATTTAGCAATCTGTGGAGGTCTGGATTTGGAGTTACACTCAAAATTAAAGTGGAAAAAAAACACTACAGGCTGATCCAGCTTTGATGTAATATCCTTAAAACAAGTCAAAATGAGGCTCAGTAGTGTGTATGGCCTCCATGTGCCTGTATGATCTCCCTACATGCCTGGGCATGCTCCTGATGAGGTGGCGGGTGGTCTCCTGAGGGATCTCCTCCCACACCTGGACTAAAGCATCCCCCAACTCCTGGACAGTCTGTGGTGCAACGCCACGTTGGTGGATGGAGCGAGACATGATGTCCCAGATGTGCTCAATTGGATTCAGGTCTGGGGAACGGGCGGGCCAGTCCATAGCATCAATGCCTTCGTCTTGCAGGAACTGTTGACACACTCCAGCCACATGAGGTCTAGCATTGTCGTGCATTAGGAGGAACCCAGGGCCAACCGCACCAGCATATGATCTCACAAGGGGTCTGAGAATCTAATCTCGGTACCTAATGGCAGTCAGGCTACCTCTAGTGAGCACATGGAGGGCTGTGCGGCCCCCTAAAGAAATGCCACCCCACACCATTACTGACCCACTGCCAAACCGGTCATGCTGGAGGATGTTGCAGGCAGTAGAACATTCTCCACGGCGTCTCCAGACCCTGTCACGTCTGTCACATGTGCTCAGTGTGAACCTGCTTTCATCTGTGAAGAGCACAGGGTGCCAGTGAATTTGCCAATCTTGGTGTTCTCTGGCAAATGCCAAACATCCTGCACGATGTTGGGCTGTAAGCACAACCCCCACCACCCTCATGGAGTCTGTTTCTGACCGTTTCTGACCGTTTGAGCAGCCACATGCACATTTGTGGCCCGCTGGAGGTCATTTTGCAGGGCTCTGGCAGTGCTCCTCCTGTCCCTCCTTGCACAAAGGCGGAAGTAGAGGTCCTGATGCTGGGTTGTTGCCCTCCTATGGCCTCCTCCACGTCTCCTGATGTACTGGCCTGTCTCCTGGTAGCGCCTGCATGCTCTGGACACTATGCTGACAGACACAGCAAACTTTCTTGCCACAGCTCGCATTGATGTGCCATCCTGGATGAGCTGCACTACCTGAGCCACTTGTGTGGGTTGTAGACTCTGTCTCATGCTACCACTAGAATGAAAGCACTGCCAGCATTCAAAAGTGACCAAGCCATCAGCCAGAAAGCATAGGAACTGAGAAGTGGTCTGTGGTCACCACCTGCAGAACCACTCCTTTATTGGGGATGTCTTGCTAACTGCCTATACTTTCCACCTGTTGACTATTCCATTTGCACAACAGCATGTGAAATTGATTGTCAGTCAGTGTTGCTACCTAAGTGGACAGTTTGATTTCACAGAAGTGTGATTGACTTGGAGTTACATTGTGTTATTTAAGTGTTCCCTTTATTTTTTTGAGTAGTGTATAATAGGGCTAACATTTCTTGTGTTTTTACATCAATAGCTTGTTACTGAGAATGGGAAAATTAAATATTAATTGTAAATTGTTTACAGGTGGTAAGTATTGTATATTGGTTTTCTTAACACTAAGAGTAGGAGCTGGATGATCTCTGTCAGATAACCAATTTCCATAGTTGTTTGACAGAGCATTATTACGTGCTGTTTATCTGCTTGTCTAAATGGAAATTAGTTATAATCACTTATTCCTGGTTGAGTTAGGTGTAAGGTAAGTATAGTGACCTATGTTTTATGACATGGTTACTTAAGAATTCTATTAAACCTCCAGTAAGAACAAAAATATTTAATTTCTAGGATTCAGGTTTGTTGGCAAAATCTTACCTTTCCCAACTGTTTTCATTATTATGCTGTTATCTTTCCAGGGTGCTGTAAAGAGGCAGGCATTGTATGCCTGCAGTACATGTACACCACCAGGTGAAGAACCAGCAGGGATTTGTTTAGCATGCAGCTATGAATGCCATGGCTCTCACAAGTTATTTGAGTTATATACAAAAAGGTAAGCCAAGAGAAAATAAATTCATTCTTAGGCCAATTTATCAGTTTTCAGCTATTTAAACTGGTCCTCGAGTTATAACCATAGTTGGGACTGGAACTTTGATCACTAAGCAATGTGCTCATTATGTGGAACATTACATGACTGTACTGTTTCGTGATGGCAGTTCCAGGAGACCCAGTAACATTTGTTAGGCTAGAACAGTACTATTGTTAGGTGAGGATCTCACACTTCTGTTCTGCCACACTCACCTTCGCTTCAGCTCTCCCTACCAGCAAATCTGGCCCCCTCATTCTCCCCTTTTAGGTGCCCCACACTCTGTTTGATACCACCAATGTCACTGTGGCCACCCACTGCC